CAGTCCATACAGTACGCGTACATGTACATAGCTACAGGAATGGAATACAAATTTTACAATTACATGTACAATTGAATAAAAATTTATGATGCGCTGTACCCATCATGTTTGAAAGACCCGGTGTTTGAGAGTCTGCTAATGGTGTGCTACATGTAAGCTGGATTAAAAAGTGAGGCTGGCTGTATATAAATACTGTACATGAACATGTACATGTATGTATGTGTAGACATTCTTTCAGGTTGGCTTTGGTATTGAACTTACATGTACATGTACAAATGTAGGTATCATTTTTCTCTGCTGCATTTTATTTTTCAAAGAAAACCTCAGGTGCTGGTTAAATTATTTATGGTAGGTAATGTTTGGTGATGCCCTATGGGCAGAATAAAGAGGAAATAGAACAGGGCGAAAAAAACAGCCAGGTTTGAAGGCAGACTTTCTCTGGAGAATAATCCGACAACCCCTCAAGGAAGAGCAGTGTGGTCAGTTGATAAGACGCACTTCATGCTCTGGTGCAAATCAAAGGTGAACCCTGCTTTTATCATGATGGGCACACCAGGCTGAAAAACATCTCAATCAAATGGTGCTGGTGGGTTAAACAACAAGTGGTTTCCCCACAGTTCAAGTATCCATCAACACAACAAAAGACAAAGTACTGTACCTTGGAAAGAAAGGTACCAGTGCACGCTTGATCAATATTTCAATACAAAAGGGACTTCATCCCAATAATCATTTCCTTCTGGACCTGTAAGAGAAAGAGTCAAGATCCGGATCTGGAGTTTTTGCATAACCTACTGTACATGCAACATGTTTCATTGCCCACTGATACATGTACAGTCTACGTACACTACATGTACATGTACCATACCAGTACATGTACTGTGTACATACTGTAGTTAGCCCCCCATGGGGGTGGGGCAAAGGGGTGCTTGTTTCTCCTGGGAAAACAAAAGGAAAAAGACATTTGGGAAAAAAGGGAGGAAACAGAAGTAATTTCAAAAAAGAGATGAATGGAGATGACAATCATCAATATGTTTAAAGAACAAAACTCACAACTGATAACTGTCATAAATCGAAACAAGTGGCTTCCCCCCCCCCAAAAAAAGAGTCCTGGCAACACCAATGAAACCTCCCCTTCCCCAATGGAATCATTCCCCTTCCCCAATGGAATCATTCCCCTTCCCCAATGGAATCATTCCCCTTCCCCAATGGAATCATTCCCCTTCCCCAATGGAATCATTCCCCTTCCTTCTTTTCTTTCCTTCCCTTCAGCTCAGTTTCAATATCGGAAACACAATTATGGGTGGATCAAAACAATTGAACTCAACATTCCTAATTCATTCTCAAATCACTGATGTACATGTACATGTAAAGGGGTTTTTTGGGAGGGGGCTCAGATGCAAAGAAACAGTGCTTTCCCCCCCCCAAAAAAAAAGGGAAGGGCACATAAAATACATGTACCACCCCAACTGTCCATCTAGCTGCCTTTGCAGTTTCAAAATACCACATCTAGTCATCAAAACGTTTGGTATAAGAGATTTCACATCATTTCCCATTAACAAGCAGCTTGTTGAAGTTGTCAGAGAAAATTCATATGTATTTTAAGAATGAATGTCAGTCTTCGAGGGTTACAATTGCCTTACGTGTATCTATACAGGAAATATTACATATTTGCATTACTGGTGTCTCCATGGTGTCTCAGGGGCTGTTTTTGTTGTTTTAATTTAGTTACAAGAAATGCACAAAAGGTTAACTCAAACCTATCCCAGTGCCACAAAACTTTTGCCTTTTGCAGACTTGTTAACGCATGACCTCTATTTTAACTCCAAAACAATTCTCAAGCATCTCCAGCGTGCCATACTTACAGGAGCTACCGCAAAGGAGAGAAAACCACAAAAACTTTTCAAAAAAGGTGGTTTCACAAACAAAAAGTTCTGTTGCGAATGTAAGAGTGGCCACCAAGTGATAGACACAACAAAGAACTTCAAAGGAAGGTACATGTACTGTATGCAAAGCAACACAACTCCATCCCGACAAGTCCACAACGTAGGCGGGAATACATTCGCACATGAGGGTCAAATGATTTGGTTTCGGGATAAACAAGTTTTCCTCCGTGGACAAGTTAAATTGACGGCAAATTGCCCCCCCCCAAAAAAGAAAGAAAATTGGCTTATTAAACTCTGAAAATTTGCCCTGGGCCATTTATGGAAATAGTGAAATGCCACCACACAACATAGCTCCCCAGATGCTTCGCTTAAAGTTAGGACACCAAAACACCCAAATTTATCAACTCTTGGTATAATTGCCGTATCATTAGGAGACTGTCCCCACAGGTTCCCTGCCCTGGAGGCAGTCTGCCAAGCCAAATAAACAATGCTCCCACGTCTGTCCACTTTCAGTTTTTATCCCCTTCAAACATTTGCCAACACTGTCCCTTCACTCCTTCTGACAAGTCACTTGGAGAACTTTCACAGTGTCATGTGGTATCCTTGCACCTGATAATTAATTGCCTGAACCAAGCAGTTTGTCTACCTGAGGTAGCATGCAAATCCACAGAGTTGCTGTCATAATACATGTACACAAGTCAACTTGACAGAAAAACCATCTCACACCCGTGGACATACACACAGCGATTTTTGACTGTGAAAGAATTAAGGACCAAGAGGTTTGGGATCTCCAGAAATGCAGGTTCATTCCTTGTCCTGGTATAAGACAACTTTCCCAGTAGGTTTTTCTGACAGTTTTTCCAGACTGCATTCTGCTAGTGCTAGAGAACTGGAGACTTGCTCCTTTTTGACAGTCCTCCTTTAAAACTACACGTAGCTTTGCCACACAGGGTCAAGCACACCGCAACCACGCTTTGCCTGGGACGTGTTATTCTAAGGTGTGCCCTTGACAAGTGGGGGGGGAGGGGAGGGGTGACTTTAATGCCCCACCGCCAGTGAGTGATACAGGGCGACACTGCATGTCAGCTAGCCGTGGGGTGCGATAGTTTGCACCGGTACTTGACTCCGAGACCTGACATTTCAACCTGATGGTGAAGATGGAAGCCTCGGGGCTGCGTCCAAACAATTGAGGCTGTGGCTACCCAATGGCAGCCACTGGTTAGTGGCTACCTGCACTGTCACAGACCAGGGGTAAGATGGGGTGACAAAGAGAAATCCTCAAACTTCAATGAGCCGAGCAGTTATAACAATGAAATGAACACAAAAGGGTACTCTCTAAAGTGGCTAGGATTACGTGAATCTTACTCTTTTATGAGAAAGTAGAAAAACCTACTTGATACTAAATCTCTATTAAACCACAACTGGGGACAGAATACCCTGGAATATGGAAATATCCTGAGAAAAAGGCTTGGGCCGCTTGGCCAATAGAGGGCACTCATCTAGGCTGCCTGTACACACTAACATCAACAAAATCAAAATCTTACACACTATGATTTCCTGAAAGCTTTCCATTCAGTTTCACACATGTACATGTACATCTGACTGCAGGGTCTGCTTTTTGTATTTAGTGAGGTGAGTTTAAAAGATCCGAAGCTGCAATGCAGCACCATGTTTTACCCTCAAAACATAAAACTATCTCTAGTGGGACCAAAGTGATCTAATTCAAGTTTTGTAAGTACTGTAGTTCAAATAACAATCATTCAAAAGTGCCTCTGCCGTCAAAGATAAGCCCTTGAGACAGCTACCGGTAACGCCAAAATTCAATCAGAAACGAGTGTTGGATTCAAGTCCTTTTTCAAGTCCCATTATGGTGAACAATGACAACAGAATGCTGTTGTCACAGCTCATTTGAATAGCTTGTGAATTAGCTTCAGACTGACTGACTTGTGATGGACTTGTGACGGACTTACAGCCACTTGTGATGGACTCGAATATAACACTATCAGAAAGCATTCATCAGGGGCTCAACTACTAAATTTTCCCCAGGTCACCTGCGCACAAAATAAATGCACATGGATAACAGGCAAAAGTGACCAGCACTTGACTGATAGGCCCTAGTGGCTGACCAAACTTTACCAATGAGTTGAAATATAATGTACCGGTACTACCTGGTATCTGGTACGTGCTCCGAGCAGAAACAAGAGAGGGCCTTCTTGTACATGGAAACAATGGTCCTTAGGTGGGACCTCGTCATGCGAGTGAACAGGCCTACTGGTATGCGCGCGTTTGTCATGAAGCATGCAGAAAGCGTGCAACCAATTTACGTTTGCATGTACCGTACATGGACATCACATGAGCACCAGGCACGAGCATGAGCTCAGTTGAAAAAACTTCCCACCAGCTTGTCTCTGCTGTGCTGTTGAGGGCGCACTTCAATTCAGGGCGAATAATAATAATGACTGTCATCAGTGTTTTGGTAAATAGCCTCTTAGCAGTTCCTGTTCAATTTAACCCTCAGAAAAGTCTGTGCCACGTGCAGTGACTCTAATGGAAACATGTGCTGCAATGGTGTTCCAATGTATATAAAAAAGTGGTCAAGAGAGGGCGCCACACACATTATATGGAGTCAGGGTGAGCCTGTGCTTCCAGGTTTTATTGACCTATTGAACTTTTTCATTATCGTGACACTGTATTCATTAACAATGCAGATGCACACGTGAGGTTTCGTGTTGTCTGAATTTTTCTCCTAAATAATTAGCAGCACTCATCTGATTGCTTTAAATTTTTCTTTGGCTGGAAGTTCCACAGTCTGTACAATATTTGCATCTGTGCCATGACATGGAAATATTAACCCAGCAGGATCAGAACTCAGATTTTATGGCATGCCTGCAGAATCTGCTAAAACTTAATAACTTGCTTTTTAAAGCTTTATGACTACACTTCCAACATGTAAGCATTTAATATTTTTTGTCATTTGGTCTTCAGAAACGGAGCTAGAGCTCTTTGCAAATGAAAATAAAAGTTTAAGGCCAAGCAGCCAACTTCAAACCTGCACATTCTCACCACTTCAAATGGCAAAAAAAGCAAAAAGTGCATTTGGAAACTAAGAAAACTTACCGGTCTCTCAGATTCAGTGCAGGAAGGCATCTTGGTGGATTCCATTGTGGGTTTTTTTTTTCTTTAGGCACGCAGTTGAAGCACACACGTTGCACTCGCTCAGGTCACGACATCATCTGTCTGTTGTCTCGGGTATCCCAGAACCACTGTTGATTGCTCGCTGCAAAGCCCGTTGGATGACCCTACGGCACATGTACCGGTTCATGGACAACTGTTGGTATTTAACAATCCGGTTCTACCTATCCAAACTCAATCACTTTCTGGCTGGGACGTGTTGATGTGACAGGGGGGAGTTCACATCCATTTCACATTTTAGAACCAAAAAAACCTGGATAAGCGTGGTTAAATACATGTACAGGTACCTCTCACACTATGCTGTTACCCGTACACAAGCTGTTCAAACAATTTTGACAGTGCGTTGTTTCAAGTTTTTTCTCCAAATTCAAAGCACGACCACTGAAGTAGGTTATATTCACACACCTAAAAAGCAAATTGTCTCTTTATAGCACACTACAGGAATGATCTCAAGAGATGCACGCCCCTTCTGGAAAACACTTGCATGAAAAATACTACACATAAGGGGGTACTCGCCGAGTCTTTCCGAACCACGACACTTGTAGAACTGAGGAGAACTGAATTTCGCCGTTCAAAGGTTGAGATGATGTCACAGCACTAGTTCACGACACTTATGGGTCCTTTATCTCTTTTGGACTGCACACGAATCTGGAGAGTTCTCCACACACGGCCAGCACATTACAACTCACCGTCCCTGTTTACTGAAGAAACAGGCGGCTCACGTTCACGACACTTTGGGCCACTCCGGGTTCTGGGTTGATACAGATTTTTTTTGCCCAGGAAGAGGAATTTACCACTCGCGTGTACATAGGCACGATTCAATCCAATCGCTCCAGCCTTGTCTGGAGCCAGCCTAGCCGGATTTGGAGGCAATTCCATCCGAATTCAACGGTGATAGCGCAAACAGGGTCCACAAACTGCTTCATATTGCCAACTCAAAGTCAAACTCCATCGCCTGTAAATTAAGAATCGAAACTGAAACTTGAGAAGGACAATGAGATGTGCTGAGAATCAATGGGGAAGACATGATTTAAAAGTCTTATGACAGACTACATACGTACTGTGTGGCTGTGTGTACACTGGCTCCCCCACAGTAATGAGATACAATTAGCTGCAAAATGTGGGATTTGAGGAGGAGGCACCGGCGAATACAGCAAACCAAGATATTTTGCTCAGCTTTTCCTGTACATCCTGGACCACATGTGATCATAATGGTACATGTACCTGGTACATGTACGGTATACGAAATACATGACTTTATACTTTTGCAATGTAATGTATGTACTGGAACAAATAACATACATGTACATGTCCATGTGTGACCATGTGCATTCATGTACATGTAAGTTTACCAAATATCTTCTAATTTATGTAAACTACCTACCCAGTACATGTACTGTACACGTACTGCTTGGTACATGTATGCCACACTTGTGAACAAACTCCTGCCAACTCACCAGGGATGGAAGTACCATCACACTGTTCGGAAGTTATAGCCAGAGTACATGTACATGTATGTACTCAGTGCAACCCATATCACAGCTTGGTTACATGTACAGTACACGTACTTACCTTAACCAACGACAGATTTCTTCTAGAGCTCTGCGTTCTTGCTTCTAAAAGAAGCAACCCTTAGTGTGGAGAAGTGAACAAATCTTCATCAAATAACAGGTAATTACCATACACCTACAAGCACATGTATTCTCGGTTCTTTATCCCACTCAAAGTGAGAGAGACATTTCTCATGCATTCTCAGTTACATGTGCTCTGGCCATTTGAGCTTTTATCAACGGAACAAAATCAACATTTATCTCTGCTCGACCGTATCACTTGAGAATGAGAACAGGACCAATGTGAGGAATTCTTGGGGTACAAATCTAAATGTTCTCCCTTAATTTGGAAACAAAAATTGGAAATCTATCTTTTTGGCCTTTCTGAGGGGACAAGCCTGACCTTGGGGGTTTCTTTGATGACTTCTCGGATGGAAAGAAAAAATACCCTTTTCTCACCGTTTTAAAAAAAGGAAAGGATTTTGCTCCTTGAGGGATGCACTTGCCCCAGTCTGCATCTGTTTCTAAAATCAAAACTGGACCTCGTACTTTTCCATAGGACTGTGAAACTCAGCATTTGTTCTTATGAGAGATCTGTCAGATCTTAAAATAACACAGCTGAACATTAAATTTCTACCACAAAGTAATTCAGCCCAAAATTAAATTTAATGTACCTGTGTGAATGTCTTTTCTGATCTTGGGAGCACATGTATCTTATTCAACTTACACAGATGTAAATGGGTACATTCAGAGCATTCATAACACTTTTGCAAATATGCACAAACACTGCACATCTATTTAAGTGTATTGAGCAATTAAATTCCATGGACAGGCTAAAAAAAATAAACTTAATTATAAGCAAGGTCTTCAAACTGACCCTTTATTAAACTGGCAGAGACTGTAAGAAACATGACACACATACACACAGGTGTCCTCATTACAAGTACATGTACAAGTGACTCCTGGCAAGCCAGGGCTTTGTTTGAGATTTGCTCATCATGCTAATATGCCCCGACTGGAGTCCGCCATTTTTTTTTTTTTTTTGAGGGCTCGATCTACAGACTGGCGTCCTACCCGATATATTATAATCTCGACTCTTGGGGCTCCCAGGGGACTAGGCATCATCAAGTGTTTGTATATTGACTGTATGGATCTGTGTTGAGTCATCGGCCTTGCGGGACCGGCCTTGTGCAAATACTCTGGCCTTCCTTTGTCTTTGCCTCTGCCGGTGCTTTGCTTTGTTCATTCTGTACGGATAAAAATTAATTACAAAAAGCCCCCCACAAATTAAAATTCAGGACATTTATCTACTTTCAATTAGAACTGACATATCCAATCTCTTCCAATTTTGCAATCAACCCAAGTACAGTGTACATGTAGGCCTTTGTACAACTGCACATCGTTACTCGATCACTCTCGAATCTTCTCAAATAATCAGCTCACGCATGCAATGTGTACAAATAAACATCACTTTGCAGGATATTGAAATCAATATGCTGCGCATGCAAATGATCCATTCCAAACTTGGTGGGAATTATCATTATCTATAATTTCTGTGAAATAAACACACATGTGCATACATGTACCGGTATGTTCTACTCAGCGGTGTAACTTCAATCCCAGATGTTATGAAATAACAAAGCCGTCTGGCAAAAGTACAGGACAAGCAAATTAGTGAGGAATGATATGGAGAGTTCCACGCAAAGGAAAAATCATACCAATGACGAAAATTGCCTGAATAAACACGTACATGTACATACGTCAATTGCATGGGGGTCAAACCTTCATATACAATGCATGTACAGCACTTGTAGTACGGGTGCCTTGTAACCAAACAGCTTTAGACAAGAAAACGAGCCAGTAAAATGTCATTTAGCCATGGACAGTTCTGACATTATCAAAGTCCACTTACAGGAGAGGCCAAGTGCATGTACCCAGACACGGTAGAATGGGAGAGCAAGGAAGGAGCTATCAGACCTTCTACATACATGTACACTACGTACATGTACCTCTCTGCTGGTACTTGGCAAAGTCCCCACATTGGATATCACCCCAAGGTACATGGAAAAAGAGTGAACAAGGGAAAAGAAGACAGAAATGCCCAGCATTCATTGAAGAACCTCCACTTGTCAGTGGTTGATGAGTCTGCTACCATTGAATACTTTGCCCCCTCCTGACAAGAGCCATGCCCCCTTCTGAGTGATAGCCATACATGCCAGCTCCCCAGTTCACATGTACCTTTGTCAATCCTACACTATCCTCCCTGCTTCCTGTTGGATCTCAAGGATCTGGGAAGGTTGACGCTGTTTGCTTTTTATGGCATACATGTATGTGTAAAAAAAAGATCCATCCATGTATAAACCGTAGGAGCATTAGTTGAATCAAGATTGACTGAAAACTGACTGTCAAGTTGCCTTCAACTCCATGTAGCAACTTACATGTAGCAAGCAACCAAGTCTTCCCAGTTTCCCCAATTCTCCTCCCTCCCCCGTCTCATTAAGACCAGGATATTCCCCCCTCCCATTCTGACCCTCTTCAATTTGGGAGGAAATCCGATTCAGTCATCGGGAAATGAGCCCACATTGGAACCAGCGCTCCCATGATTATTCTGAACAAATTGATAATTTCCTCACAGTAATGACGTTAAGTCATTCCATGGGTAGTTTGCTTTAAAGCAGATATCTGGTGATGACAAGTACAGTATGCATGTAAAATCCACCCCCCCCAAAAAAAACAGTGACTGTGAGGACCTTTGCACAATGGTTTAATATCAAAATTTGAAGGAGGCCGGGCCTGACATTGTGCTGGGACTTTCGATGTATCACAATGGAAAGTCACACATGACCAACAAAATCACATTTTTGATTAAAAAAAAAGCTCTGTTTGAGGAAGGGGAGGGGCAGATGTGAAAACTCAGAGGACTCCTTCCAAAGTTTTTGGCAAATGGTCGCCCAAGGTACCTATTCAAAAATTGCAGACAACTTTGCACCTTTCCTAGAGCAACGTAAGCAAACAGTCTTGACACAATAAGTGCCTGTACTCGCAATTTGTTAGGTTAGGAATATTTGTAACATTTCTCAGTCCTTGCATTATAAAGTTCCAAATACAACAAGGCAATTTGGCCAGTAGGGCCAGCCATGTTATCAGTTGACTGAGCAAATTGTCCAAGAGTTTTTAACTTCAACAAGACACTCAGTTTTTCAAATCAAGGCAAATTTAAGAATACCAAATTTCAAACACCAAAAAACCTTGCTCTTTCCCCATACACTGACAAGCCAAACCAAATTTATCAAACCAAACCACTCCTGAACTGTGTCTCATGTTTTCATAATTCAGGCATGCAATTTAGACTTTGACAAAAAATGAGGAAATTCCCATCTTCACTGGATTTTGTACAGTATTTTTCAATTTTTAATGGCATGAGTGTGAATTTAAAAAATGAGGAAATAAGCTGATCCGAAGAATACCAGTTGCATGCCTGACAATTAAGCTTATAACCTCACCAGTTGAAAATAGCCATGCTGGTCAGGAGTGTACCGTACGTGTATGCTTTATCGGTAGCAACAGACACACGAGGCATGCATTTCACTGTAGCTCATGAACTAGGGAAGTGAAGTTCCTACCGAAGGAGCCCCATTGCTAGGAAAATTAGGCCCGAGCTCTTGGTCCAGCTCTTGGAAAATGTTGTGTACATGTACATGTATGTGTTTTGTTTGATTTTTCATTGAAAAATATTCCGTGCTATTACTGTACATGTATACGTCAGCCCATACCGTCCTACAAATTCGTTGAGCAATTCCGCTTACTGACCAGTGTAAAATTGCTCTGTCAGAACTTGGTACCATATTGCACCCATTTCACATCAATCAAGAGCAGCGTTTTTTTCCCTTCACCCTCCAAGTTATTTATAGACTGGAGGAACACCCAAACAAGGTTGGATGCAGGGGTCTTCCTAAACATTGACACAAATGGATACTAATTTGATAACACCGAGCCGGTTACTGGGTCATCTGAGGTTGCCCATTCCATCAACACATCACCCTGCATACCCGAATGACTGACCTAAATACACACTGTAAATAGGTCAAAAGCTTGAAGCAATTTGTCTGCGCAACAAATATGTAGGACTTTGGAGGCACGTTTGACACGAGTGTACTTTCATAAATGTACAGTAGTGTATGAATTACGAGGTACCAGTAAAGCTCCATGGTAAACATACATGTGTACATGTACAATTCACACTTTAATTACTTACCAGTATATTTTACAATGTAAAGCACTGTAAATATACCAAATGATTCAAACTTGGACCACAAAGTATCTTTGCATAGGAAGGATAATCGAAAGATGGTATATGAATAATTAAATACCATAAACAAGTTCTGATGTTAGATTCTGTACAGGTGTGGCGCACACATGCAATACATGTACACCCACTAAATGCTGACGTTTTTCTTTGAAGATCCCTGCCAAACACCCACTTTTTTACACGCTGAGATGTCAATCTTTTTTCCCCCTTCTTTTTAACATGCTGAGATCTATTCCAGAGATAGCGGCTGACCTTTGTCAAAATGGATCAGCTAGCTTGCTGGGAGAGCTGCGGCAAGATGCAAACAGCTGACTCTAGGTCAAAGGTCACATGACTCGGGCGACCTTTGCCCCTCATTCCATGTGATGTAGACTTGCTCAAGTCGCTATTGTTTCAACTTGCTTGTCGCTCTTTGGATCTTGAACCTTGAGATGAAATACCGGCATTGTGCTAAAAAAAAGTGTCTCATTTCTTGGTGCAGAATCATTTCAAAACATCCCAGATATGGACATTACTTGTATCAGACCTACATGCACGTGTACATGTACACATACATGTATGATCACTGCTGATGTTTGACTGAATGGAATTCTGAATCACAGAATGATCCTCTCACTCCACCACAATTGAAATTTGAAATTCACAAAATAAATTTCAAGCACATAAGTGTAAACACATTTAAAACACAGGCTAAAACATCCTCTTTGCGACATTCATTCTCACACTTTTCTCGTCGTAATAGACCACTCTCATTTTGCCTACTGGGCGGCCAAAGTATGCAGAAATACCACCTTTTGGTTGGTTTTTCAATTTTACCTCCAACTCCCTCAAAATGGATAGTTGTCTAATTGATTTTAAACAGGGAACTACATTTTCATTTATCATTAAGAGTTAGTAATATGTGTATGACATCTGTTCTGATACATATAGGTACATGTACATGTACGTGGGATTTTCAAAACTTCTTCAACTTTTGTACCCACGGCCAACCATAGTTTAAGCATCCACTTGTAGAAAAAACATGATTATAATGTCAAAAGAGCAGACCCTATAGTTGAGAGAAATATGGAAGGGGTGCGTAGCACCGTGATCGGAATGTTGACAAGAATATACCGTAATATCAAATCAGTGCTCTGGAATACATGCATGTGATTGCCAGTCACATATTCCAGAGCACTGATTTTATATTATATTCTTGTCAAGACCCTATAGTTGGACGCACAATTTTGTGTACTAAACCCAAGAGTGCACGTTCTCCTCCTCGCAGGCCAGTTTACCACGCATGTACCAACAGTGCAATTCAAGACCAATGATACACTTCCGTAAGTCCATCAATTGGTCCATGTACTTTGTCTAGCGCTGCTTTTGTATAGCATACATGCATTTTTGGCCCCACCTAGAGACATGAGGTCATGCACAGGTAAATTAAAGTGACCTAGTGAAGACAAATCACATTTTTGTATTGTGCGTCAAATAATGTGATGCCGCTGGTATTGAAGGGCTGCGTGTCCACTGTGAGAGAATGACTGCGACATTAATTTACAACGTGCAGGTACATAAATGTACATTGTACGTGTGTACATACTGTATACGTGTACAACGGATACTGTGCATGTACTTCACCCAAACAGTACCTTGTACAATTTGGCTCAGGTAAAACACACCATGTGAGAAAAAAACAACCCATGAAATTTCCCTGTTGGTAATAAAGTTCACAATAAATCAAAGATCCCAGCACAAGAATTAATTTTATGCAAAAGTCACAACCTTCGTCTCATGACCTGGCGGCACAGTATAACAGGACCAATTCATGTACTGTACATTATGCATTGTGGAGTGACATGGAAAGCACACTGATTTGGGCCCTTGAAGACACATGGTGCTTGCTAGCGTCTAAAGAATTCCCCATCAAAACACTCAATAATGGCTTTATTTCCATTATCTACACACCTTTAAAACGTTACCCACTTGGCCACATGTATACATGTACATGGTGTTTGCCCTGCCTATTCAAGTGTGAGGCGGCCAACCTCACTTGATTTGAGTGACCACCTCCTTTCCTGTTGAATTTTACCACCTTGCCCTTAAAATAGACAAAGATGGAAGGAAAGAGCAAACTAAGTTAGATAGTTAGAAATAAATCAGTTTTAAATCATTCAGAATGATAAGGAAGGGCACAGAATACAGTACAAGATGGATTTATTTTAGACAAATTTTTGGAGTAAATGTTTTATTAGACTATATAGAATTTACATGTATTTTAGGCTTTTTTAAAAACACTCGCATTTGTTTTAGTCACTAGAATTTTGACAAAATTTGTTGATCCACTTCACACATATCAGTACCCCAGGGGATTCCCTCCATGTATATTCATACATGTACTGTACTTGTATATCATCAAATAACACTGGCTAATACCAAAGGACAAATTGTTAAAGGGACAATGTAGCTTCGAGCACACGCACTTGTAGTTTTCACATATATTCTTTTCGCTCATTATGGTAACAAAATTTACATGTATAACAGTCCTGAATTCTTCAAAGTTCTGTTGGGTGGCTTAGAGACTGTGTAACAAGTTTTCAAAGGGAAAAATCTTGGTGCATGTGACTTGGTTTATATTTTTTTAAAATTTTGTTATGGTAACCGAATACAGTTCTGAATTCTTCTAAAACTGTTGCATGGCTTAGGACAGTGTTAGCAGGATAAAGAGTTTTTGAAATGTTCTAAAATGACATGGACAACCCCAATCAATGTTCATTGTCCACTGAACATGAGCTGACACCAGAACCACTCCTCTGTGAGGTGAATTTACACACTCTCTATTCTCATGTATCCAACTTCTTTTATTCACTGGGGGGAGTGCCCCTCCCACTTTTTTGACTTGAGAGAATACCCCCTTCCCCTACATTTAGCAGGTCCTACAGATCTTTTTCACCCACGTGACTGGATTGCGCTAAATGTCACCATGTGTAGACCGCCTTGGCCACGGTGATCTCATACATTCCTATGGGCAGCTTCAACCACATGCCAACGCTGCATGCTTGACTAGTTTATCCTGAATAAGTAGATTACCATCACAACACCATGCACTCATTACCATCACATCGTAGGTCCAGCATGATTGCGACTGTAGGTCTATAATGGGGTGAGGTTTAATCAATCAACCTATTAATCGTTGGTACTGGTGCTTGATGGTCCACAACTCCTCCCCCCTTTCCTAATTTGAAAATTGTTTTGTCGCAGTTGCCTTTATTCCCAGGACTGATAATGATTTGTTTTGGTACTTCAGTTAGTTTATAAATAAATAAATAAAATGTTTTCACATGAATTTATATTTTCAATTAGAATATAAACTACTGACCATACGCTATCAGACAGCATTAATAAATATCTCCATTTGCTTCTGGCAATACAGGCGATTCACAATAGTGCGCCACCAAGAGTTTGCAATGCGTTGGCCAATCACAACGCGCAAAATTTGTCGACCCTTTCTAAACGCACATTGGGTCGAAAAATTTCGCGCATTGTGATTGGCCAACAAATTGCGAACTCTTGGTGGTGCACTAGTATTGTGAAACAGCCGTATTACCAGTACTTTGGTCATTCATTACAAGTACATGTAGCTCATTCTATTCCAACTTACTATCGTGACCAATCAGATATCATTGAGATGTATACGTACCCATACATGGGCCCTCCTAGTAATGTAAAAATGTAGCTTACAAATTCTTACAGTTGTCTCCGCATTATCAAGATTACGGTTCTTTTGTTTTCCTTCTGAACCATGCATTCTGCATTACTGCCACCTTCAGTAGCTAGAGTTCCATATTCAGTGCCCATGGCATCACCATGTGGTTTTGCTGGTTGCTAGACTAAATTAATCTACCCCATCGCCAAAACACTTTGCGCGATTGGTCAATTCTGCATGAAATCTCCAAGTTAAGGTTCCTTTTTGAAACAACCTTTTACAACCATGAATTAGAAAGAAAAGGCACTTGGCTGATAACGATCAATGATGATTGAATCAACTTGTACCTTGGGCAACTCGTACCCTGGACAACTCGTACTTTGAGTTAAGACCACTTGTACCTTCATGTTTGCAATTTGGTTATAACTTTCACGCTCTTCCTTTTCATCATGTTTAATTTTAAGATCAAATTTGACAAACACGTCAAGAAAAAAATCTTCATAAATCTCGAGTTGTCTCGTATGCGAAGGTATGAGTTATCTTTACAGGAGGTACGAGTTGTCAAAGGTGCGACTCAGCAAAAGTACAAGTTGGCACAGTTATGTTGAGTTGATGGTATGAGTTGTCCAAGGTATGGGTTGACCTGTTCCCTTCCATGCCTACCTGTACATGTACATCTGCCAATCATGTACTCCAACAATTTGAAATAAAATCTATGCTGCTATGGAAAAACTGAAATTGTAGACGGAAAACTTGTTTAGAAAACTTAAGATTTCAAGAGCCGAATACGGAACCCTTCCCCTTCCCGGTTTACTTGCCTTACATCCAAAAATCCGCACATGCAAAACACGATCACGCTGCTGCAACCTTTCACACTTTGTTGTAAAGGCTCAAGTGGTGACCCCGCGACACCATGCACGCCACACATACGCACTCCATGACTGATTGTAAAAATGGGACAAGCTCCTTCACAAAATTCACCACGAATGCATTATAGCAAAAATAAACCCTCATGCCTGGACAAACTTACCTACTTGCCCGAAAGCTGTTTTATCTTGAATTTTCGTTGATATGCGTACAACAGAACAACTAACGAATAAATACTGAACCCGAGGCCGAGGGCACCCGTCCGCCGTTCGGCTCTGCGGTGGTCACGTTGTTTTGATGTACTCGATAAACATTTGACAGATGCGATACTTTCGTACTCTGTAACTGGTCCCCGTACCAAACGGAAATACAACATATTGGGAATTGGGACCAGTACCCTACTGTATGATATGAGATACCAACAAGGCTGTGTCCAAATCGTATGACTATGGCTTCAATTTTGCCTTGCTTTGCGCTGAGCTGAACAGCCGTAGTCATAAAAATGATGTGCACGGTCATACATGATTGTATCGCGTAAATTGTCCCTAGGAATGCTGGGACGATTCGCCGGAAGTTAATTGATTGGATTATTCTGATTGGACGCGAAACGAGGCACCTGTCACAAATTTCATTTTCTTAGCAGATCCACAATGAAAAAGCTATGATGCGTGGAAGCGTTGGAATGTTGACTCAATGTTATGGAACCCGTAATTTTTTCTTATAGCATTAATTATTTCGTAGGGTTTTGTTGTGTAATATCAGTCCCCGCGTTCAATTTTGGCGCATAAATCCCTCAGAATTATTTGGCAGGACACGCGTCTGATCACCACAAAGGCTGGTTCATACTTTGCTCAAAAGTGGACATGAAATTGTGACGTCAGATCAAGTATTGGTGCGGCAAAAGCGCAAATGTTGAACGCAGTTCAACTCGAACGAAACTCGCAGCAAAGGTTTTGCAAGTCAAATTCCGCGCTTCGCTTTCCGGCGCCTGATGGGTGAAGCGACCTGAAGGGTGTGCACTTTATTTATTTCCTTTTGTTGTATGATATGATTTGATTGAATTAATTTTTGAAGGATTTCACTGAGTTAAATAACTATAACAGATATCAGTAGGTGATCCACT